ACAATCCCCCTCACTGCGGGCACACAATTCTTGCCAGCTGTTTTGAATATGTGCTGTACATAGCAATGATGAGTTAAGTAAAGCGAGATGGCTCTTCTCAACCCAACACCACTTTGAGAAAAGCAATCTGAGTTGCCCTATGAAAATCCTTTGGGGTTTCCAGAAGACTTCAGGATTCTGTTCCAGATAAAGCTTCATTGTCTTAGATAGTACCTGATTCTAAACAGGTAAGAGATTAAACCCTGTTTCAAATATAGAACCTCTGTCACCTAGAACTCCTTAACAGAATAATTAGTCTGTTGGGATTGATTTAAATAGGGCCCCAAAATAAAAATCAGTTTCAAAATGTGCACTATCTTTAGTAATCATTATTAGTAAACGACCTTAGATGATATATATTTTTGAGACGATTTTTAGACTTCAAAAAAGGACATATACAGTCAAGTGGCAAATATCGCTAAGGGAAAAGTAAACTTGCAAACTGAGAAAGAAAAATTCACTCTCTCTTCTGTGGGTTTCTCTTTTCCTGTCACAAGCACGCCTCACTTCTGATACTTCCAATGGTTGAAAGTGTGGGGTTTTTCCCCCACAACAACAATGCTCTGTGACACCACTTGGATGTCCTATAATTTTCTTGCGGGGACAGTGTCAATTCTGATATTATCTACCTGGAGGCAGCACTAGATTCAGCATGCAAAGGACTCAGTCCCACAACCTGCCCTCAACCCACGTCAGCTGCCAATTGCAGCACAGGCTGTCATCTGTGCTTTTGACCAATGAGTTCCCAGGGGAGATTACGGGACTCTTCCTTGGGTTCCACTGATGTGCTAGAATAGTTCATGGAACTCAACAACACCATTTCCTTACTGTTAGCCACTTTATTGTAAAAGGACACAATAAAGGATGCAGGTGAACATCCGGATGCAAGAGACGTTGAGACTCCTCTCCACGTGCTCACCCACCCAGCAGCTCTCTCCACTCCTCCTTTGGGGATTTTTATGGAGGCTTCTTCATGTGGGTGTGATGGATCATTAACTCCATTTCCTACCTCCTCTCCCTTCCTGGGAAGAGAATTCCAAGCTTCTGATTCTGTCTTGGTCCTTCTGGTGAGTTCTCTAGGAGCCCACCCAGCGGCATGTCATTAGAACAAAAACACCACTATCATCCAGGAAATGCCACAGGGCTTCGGAACTTTTTATTAGGAACTGGGTCAAAAACCAGCTATTAGAACAACAAATGCTTCTACTGCTCTTATTTCTTAGGAAATCACAAGGGTTTTGAGTTCTATGCCGGGAACTGGGGGCAGAGACTAATGTGTTTCTCTTATTATTTCACACAAATCAATTTGGTTTAAACATTTATTAAGAAGGATGTTCATGTTTTTGAGTAACTATGTCTTGCCTATCAAGACAGCATGTGAAAGTTGTCTAAACATGGGCTCCTTGAATGTTTTTAAAAAGCTTTATTTTAATAATTTTTAAAAGATTTATTTATTTATGCATACAAGAGCTGGGGTACAGGCCAAAGGTGCAGGGAGTGTGAAAAGATTCACCAGAGACAGAGTGGGGAACAGAACAGGCGCATCTACTGAAATACACTGCTGAGGGGAGCAGCGGGTGAGGCAGGAGAGGTCTGTTGCGCCATGTGTGTCAGCTCCCTGGCCAGGGGTTGAACCCATGTTGCAGTGCTATAGCTGATAGTGCTGGCTATAGCTTGATAGTGCTGTGTCTTTAACCCTGCGCCACCAGGGAGGCCCTAAACAGTTTTTATTAGGGTGTAATTTATATATCATAAAATCCACTTGTTTCAAGTGTAAAATGCAATGAATTTTAGAGAATTCACTGAGTGGTTAACTCACTGCTATTTGGTTTCAGGATGCAATTTTAACTTGTACAGCTCAAATCACGTCAGTCAGAAAACTTTCCCTCCCTATTAGGCTGGATTAAGATCTTGGGGTCTTGAGAAGGGATTGTGGGTTTCCCTGTCCCTACTCACCACCTCTTTTTACCTCCCTTGTCTCCCTCCTAGAATGTCAGGTGTTCAGGATTCTAGTTGAAAGATACTCCCTGCCCTCAAAGATCAGGAAGACAGCCCTGAAAAGCCATCAAAGAAAGCATCACATTCTTTTGTGGGTGTGTCACCCATGGAGGGCTGCCCTGGGTCTGGTGAAGTCACATGGATCTCACCCCACCCCAGGGGCTTGAAGATTTTAGGGCTCAGCTCAATAAACTTTTATTGGGTACCTGATGCTGCAGGTACAAAGATGAATAAGAACTCATCCCTGTCCAGATTTAAGCAGCTTTAATTCAACCTCCGATGACTCAGCACCCTGGGTTTTCCTGAGCTTCTGAATTATCCTAGGATCTTGACCTTTGCCCATGGGGAAGTACAGATCCCTCTTGTGTCCTCCCTGATAAGGGCCAGTCCTTTTTTGTGGCTTGGTGTGCTTCCTCACTTCCTTCAGCTCTCTTCTCTTCTCTTCTCTGAGAAGCCCGCCCCTGGCACCGCCCTGGCTGCCATGTCAAATGTTAGTATCTTCTGCAGCAGAGACTCCCCTGTTGGGCTCTCTGCTTGGTTTTGTCCCCTTTTACTCTCCAACACACAATTTATTTTCTGTGTTTATTGTGGGGTGTAGTCTCTGCTGCTTGCACTTGAATGCAAGTTCTCTGGGTCTGTTTTCTCCTCTGTCCTATTTCTGGTGCACAGTCTATACTCCAGGACTGTTTGTTGAATGGATTCATGAAGATCTGATCGCTGTCTGGTTCCCTGTGCTGAGGTCTGATGCTGATAGCCCCGGGATACTGTCCTGATCCCATCTTACTCCTACTCCAGGGCAGTGTCTGGAGTGTGATGCCAGAAGTTTCCATTGACCACACCGCCTGGCCCTAGCTGCCTCACTCCTGGACTGCCTCGTGGAAGAATCTCCTCCAACGTGTTGTTACCCATTCCTTCCCTGACTCAAACTGTTTCTGTCTGCCCCAGTGCTGGCCCCCAACTAGTCTTAAGAACTGGCCTATTCCAGCCTGCCCCAGTTAATTAACCTTCTCTGTGTGACAGCTTTACAAGACCGGACAGAAGGCAGAACACCCAGGATGGTTCGTGAATTAAAATACCAGCCAGTGGGAATGAGTGACTAAGGGTGGAAGAGTTTACCCCACATTAGGCTGGATGCTTGAGTCCTCCGGAAGAATTGCTTTGAAAGCAGCTGGAAAAAAAAAAAAAGAGTTTAAACATTTTGGAATAATTACTGATCCCTGAAATTAGCTTCTTAAAAGTAGTCTTTAAAGTCACTCATGTATAATCATAATAATTCTAGGCTAAAGTTTCCTAGTAAAATCTCAGGGTGTTAGAACTCACTGTCCTATCCAAGCTTCTTGTTATTACGTCAGTTTTCAATACTCTCATTAGCTTCGCATTGGGGGAAAAAAAAAAATCTTTGTTCTGCCCTAGAGTTGAGCTGGAAATAAAAACTCTTGAGACTTCTGCTCTAAGAGTGCCTTAGGCTTTTAAAACATAGAGCTTGCACTCCGTCAGGTGTTCAAGGGAGGATGTGATTTTGGGGGGTAACAGGACATGGCTTAGCGGGGTGAATATTTTAAATTGAGATCCTAGAGAGAACTGACAGCCATCAAGCTGCATCTCTCTCCTGGTGACCGGTTTCTACATGTGCTTAGCGACAGCACATTTGGAAACACCAGAAGCATATTTTATTCGTGGGACAAGACAAGGCGGGTCAGCTGAGTACATTATCAATTTTAATAAGCGACACGGGGCCCCTGGTGACTCGTGGGCTTCCTCTTTATCCTCTTGGAAGAAGAGTTGCAGTGAGTTCTGGGGAGAACTTAGAATGAGGGTTCTTTCCTTGGGGACAAGACGGCAGGACGAAGAGAGCCCCGCTCCAGCAGCCCGGGAAGGCTGCTCCTCTGCTGGAAAATCCAGGCGCCGCTCAGCTGAGCCCTGGCCATCAGGAGATCGAGGCCAAGCGCAGGGTTACCTTACCAGTCAGGGTGGCTTCTGGGGTCGTCGGGTCTTCACTCTGCATAGCAGTCCTGAAAAAAGGGCACCCCACAACGTGGAAGCCACCCTCTTACCGTCCTCCACGTTCCGGTTTGCAGCTAACACAAGAGGCGCGAGACCTTGTCTGAAGATTTTCCAGGAGGAACTAGACATTGTCGGCTCGTCCCTAAGGCAGGCGTTAGGGTTAAGGTGGCGTCTAGGATGTCCCAGGTCTCGGCAGGTCTCACTTCCCCTCAGGACTCCTCCCTTCCTGCTCCCCTGCACCCTCATCCAAGGGAGCCGGGTGGTGGGGTGTCCACTCGTGCCCTTTGCCAGCATCCTCCAGCCCACACACGCAGCACCCCCCACCCCTGGCTAGACAGGCCACCCGAACTTCCCGGGGCAGCCGAAAAGTCTGTGCGCGGACGCGGATCCAGGGCGGTTTCTGGAAACCTGGCGATCTCCACTGCTCCTTCGCTAGGTCCCGGGCAGCAGACGCGCCCCCGGGAGCCCGGCCCCCCTCCGCGGCCCCCCCTCCTGCACACCTGACTGCGGCCGGCCCCGCTCGCGCGCGGGGAGACGCCGTGGACGTCCGGGCCCAGGTTGGGCACTCGCGGGCCGGGCCGAGGGCGCGCGCGCGGGAGGGGCAGCCCCATCCCGGGGTGCTTTGGGCTTCCAGACCGACAGACGGACTTCGCGGGCCGGCGGGGGGTGCGGCGGGGGTGGAGCCGCCGGGCAGGGGCGGTGCCGGGGGCGCGGAGCCCGGCCCCCGCCCCCACGCCCGGGTGCGGAGTCTGGGCGGCGACACAAAAAGCTCCGCTCGGAGCCGAGCGCCTGGCGGCGGCGTCCGGCCGGAGCGCCGAGGGCGGCGGGGCAGGTGGGGCGCCTCCCGGAGGCGGAGAAGGCACCGGGCTGCGGGCGCCGCGCCGCGCTCCCCGCGCCCGCCCTGCACCCCGCGGCGCGCGTCCGGCCGGCGGGTGGCGGGCGCGCCGGGACCCCGCGATGCTGCCGCGGCCGCCGCGGGTGTAGCGCCCGAGCCTGCTGCGGGAGGCGGTGAGTTTCGGTTTGTTTCCCCGCCTGCGGCCCCCCGGGTCGCGGGAAGGGATGCCTGCGCCCCCACGGCGCGCGCCCCGGAGCCCGGGCAGCGGGGAGGGGAGCTGCGCCCGGTGCTCGGGGGCTGCATTTTGGACGGAGCAGCGGGCGGCGGGGCAGCGGGTCCTGGGTGGGGAGAGGCGCGGGGCGCGGCGGCCCGGCGCGCGGGGAGGGGGGTCTCTGGAGTTGCGGGGCTCCCGAGCGCCGGCGGAGTTGGGCTGGCCGCCGGGGCGGGGAGCGGCGCGGCCGGAGGCTCGGCGGAGTCCTCGGATGCCCCCTGGAGCTCCGGTCCCAGGAACCAGCCTCGTGCCCGCGCCGCGCGCGCCCCGGCCGCGCCCCCACCCCGCACACCCCCGGGAGGGTCCCCCCGCTCGCGCCGGGTCGCGCCTTCCCACCCCCAGAAGTTGCCCTCGCGCGCCCCTCGGCGGCCCCGGGGTCCCTCCCGGGAGGGGAGGGCGCTGCGGCCGGCCAGATGTGGGGGGTCTTTTGTGCAGACCCGCGCGCCCCGGGCGCAGCGGCAGGACAAAGCGGGCTGGACCCGCGGGACGCTGCGCGGGCGGCCGCGGCCCCGGGCCCGCCGAGGGTGGGGGTGGGGTGGGGGCAGCGCCGGAAAGAGTCGCCAAGCGGGCAAAGCGGGGCGCCGGGGACTGGCCGCGGCGGGGGACCCCGGCGAGGCGAGGGAGGGAGCGCGCGCGAGCGGCGCTGGGGCGTCTGGCAGGGGCTGCGCGTCCGGGCGCCCGCGCGGTGCCAGCTGTACCTGGGTATGTTGCTCGTGTGTTTGCCCCCAAATGTCACTCCCCGCCCGCTGGGATTTCTTTCTTTCGGAGATTCCAGTTGCTAGTAGATGCTCAGCCCCCGGAGGAGAACTTGGGGGGCGGGGGAGTCTGCGGAGGAGCCGGGGGGAGGTGGTTATTTATCCGATGGAGACAATTAGGAAGCGTTACGCCCCCTCCGCGGCCCGGCGCGCTGCACCCCTCAGCCGCCTGCCGTGGCCGCCTCCCCGGGCACCCTCGGGCGCGCGCCGCCGACCCGGGGCTGCTGGCACCGCTGGCTCCGGAGCGTGTCTAACCCTCGCTGCATGTGTCTCACTGCAGGCTGAACAAAGCTCAGGCTCAATTGTGCTTCCTGCCTGTCAGCCTCTTGCTCCCAACGCCTACCATTTCCACTTGATGTCATCACGCAGAAGGGGGTGAAAGGGACTCGGTGACAGATTCAGGTAACCCCCAATCATCTGGGTCGCCGCCTGGGTGTCTCTGGGTCGTTTGGGCCGACGGTGTCTGCCCGGGGCGGGCTGGGTGGCTTCTGCACCACACCATTGCATTCCTGTCTGGGGGTGCAGTGGGGGCTGCCGCCACTCCTGGTTCAGAGAATTTGCAAAATGACTTTAAACCTTCCTTGGAAGAGTCGTGGGGGCCAGGGCGTGCTCGGGTTTGTATGCGTTGCACCTGATTTCTCGGAGGAGAATTTTGATATAATCCACACAACAGACAGTTGCATCTGAATGTGGGGTCTGGATGAGATCTGGTTAGCCACATGCCTGCTTTCTTATCTGTCGTCTAATTTATTCTGTAAGTGGGATATTGTTTGCTGAAAAGGTAGGGTTGGGATCGACTGATTATAAATGTCACCAGTGTTCAGTGAGGGCACGGGTCTAATGTAGTGACCTTCTTATGAAATCATGTCTCTCCCTCATCCCTTCATTGTAACAGGGCTGGCAGTTTAAGGGGGGGCATGTGAGTAGTAAGTTACTGGGGGGTGGAAAGAGGGGGGTGTTGGGGGAGCAGACAGAAAACAGAGAAAATGGATCTTTAGTTAAGTTTCCATTTTTATAGCTGTGAACCATTAGGCTCTCAGTCTGCTTTTTATCTCTAGGTTGTTGGTTCTTTTCCAAAAACTCTAGCTTGTTCTTTTCTTTCCAAGGATAGTTCTGTTTTGATGTCAGCCTAACCAGATCTGGGGTTATCAGGATGGAGCTCAATGAAAGCATAACCTTCAGGTAGAGCGGGACACCTTGGCACGGGTGTCTCCTAGAGGGCAGAGAGCTGTCCGCACAGGTAGCAGGCAGTGGGAATGCTTCTTCTGGAAGCGGACTGGCGGTTTGTCTGTAGGAAGAAAGGATCGCTGTGAGCTCTCCCTGGCACTGCAGTAGCGGCAGCTCGGTGTCGTGGTAGATGCTTTCTTCACCATTTCCCGCCCCCCCCCCCGCCCCAGTCCCTTGAAAATAAAATCGAAAGACTTGCAAGATGTGTCATTCGCCTAGAGTAGTTCTCTTTTGAAAGGTGACTTTAAAAAGCCCTAATTGACACTGGCATCTCCTTCTACTCAAAGCTTCGGGGATTCACCAGAAGTAGATGAACAGCTAGAAACAGCTGAAACAAAGGCCAGCGCTTTGCAAACATCAGATTTGTAATGGTGCTGGGATAGAGGTATTTTGACAAGTAATTTTTATGTCAGCAATAATGCAGGGTGTGTGCTGTGTTCCTGCAAGAGGAAAAGCCACGTGATGGGATAATAGGGAGTGTAATAATGTAATAGAAACAAAGGTGTGGTTTTTTTTTTTTTTTTTTTTTAAATAGAAAAAATAAATACCTCACACACAAAACTCCACATGGGAAAACAGCTGCCTGCACGTGTAAATGCACGTCCAGGAACAAAGATAGCAGAGAGAAGCTTTACCTCTCACTGTGGTTTTAAGTTGTGTACAGTAGTAAAGCATAATAAAGTGTTGTATTGATGTGTAATCTTTTTTTTTTTTTTTTTGAGGTGGAGACTCCCCACCCCCAGATGTCTGCAGTTGCGCGTTTAGCTTTAGGCTGGAGGCGCCTGGAGGTCATTAGGCCAACCTTTGCCTCCAGTGCCTCCCACATTTAATTCATTCAGCAGATCTTTATAAACACCTGATAGATAATGGGCTCTGAGATAGGTGCCAAGGGTGGGGGCTGGAGGGCTTGGATGAACCACCTTCAGGGAGCTTACGGGGTGGTGGAGAAATGAAGACTTGAGTCTAATTAAGTTCAGTGGAAGCTAGAGAGGAACAAAGAGTGGTATTGGACTTCGGAGCAAGGAGCTGGGGATCGCTCAGCCTCTGCTTGAATGCCTCTTTCATCGGGGAGCTCACTCCTTTGTAACTGGCTGCACCTGTTGTCAGAAGGTGACCTTTTCTTCTGTCCGAATCCCTCACTCATGAATGGTGAGCGCTCACCATGGTTGAGAGGTCGCTGTTCTCAGGCAGCTGCAGGAACCTGTCTGTCCTGTCCGTACCTTCAAGGTGCTTTGCAGTCCCTGCTGCACTTGAAGTTTGAAACAAATTCTGCTTTTCTGTTTAATCTGATTTAGAAGACAGGTGAAGGGAGGGGCTATTGCGGTGACTGTGTTTTTTAAGCAGTGTGTGTGAGCAGGGTGGGTTAGCGTGTCCTGCAGTAACAAATAACCACCCAGGCAGTTAGACTTGGTGTCATGCTTTGGTCCAGCATCCTCAGCAGGTGGGTCTTGCTAATTGGGGGGGGGGGGCTTGAGAGGGCTTGGGGGGTGTCACTTAAGGACACAAAGTGATAGAGGTGCCATCAAGGTGTGCACTTGTTACATCACCCCAGCCAGGGTGGGGGGTGGGGGCCGGGGACACTAAAGGATCTTGCTCCAGCAATGACATGATCTGACCCAGAAGTGACTTACATTGCTTTGGCAAGAGCTAGTCATGGGAGCCCCATTTAGCCACAATTCCGTATTTCTAGTACTGAAATAGGAGAACTGGAGTTAGGTAAGCAGCACCCATGACCTCCACACAGGACGTGACTAGGTGAGGGTACAAAGGGCTCCCCCCGGTCAGTGCGTCAAAGGCATTGGGTGTCCCACCGGTGTCTACCTGATGCATGAGGGGTAAGTATCTTAAAAAATCTGGTCCTTCTCCAACCTGTTATTTACTAATATGTTCTTATTATATTTACTAATAAAATTATACCCTGGCCATTAAATGAAAAATGATAATTTTCTCTCTTTTTGCCTGTTTTGAGTAGTTGTTTACTCTGAAGTGATAGACCAGAAGAGATTTAGATCTCTAAGGCTGGCTGTGGGAAGTTCTGTGCTTAGCATTATGTAATGGAGAGGTGTTAGAGACTTTCTCTCCTTTGCCATCTGCCTCTTGTCTAAGACTTCCTGAGTGTGTTAGGAACAGCTCTGTGTAGAAAAAGATGGCCCCTCCTGGGCCTGGAGTCACCCAGGAGGTGGCCTGCCCCAGCCAACACCGCAGGGTGGCAGATAAGTGCTGGCAGGGGCAGGGACTTGTGTAACCTGGTCCCCTCTGGTTACTTTGATGTTTAGCAAAAGCAAAAGCAAGCTGAATAAGAGACTTTGCTGGCCCCAGGGCTGATAAAACACTCAAAGATTCTGGGGGATCTAAGTGATATCAGCAACCGTGTTGACAACAAGGGAGACCAGTTTTAAAGTGCTCCTGGCCTCAAGCTCCCTAAAAGTAGTGGGGTGCTGTGCATAAACAGGCCTTGCAGGGGGCTATCAATGAAATCGGGTGGCTTGAAGAGAGATTTTGCTGTGGGGAGTACTGGTCACTCAAATATCTTCGTTCATGTTGTGAGAAATGGGTTAGAGGAGCCTTCAGCTGTGATAAGGAGAGAACTTAACAGTGTAAGCACAGAACTTAACAGACTGGTTTCCCTTCTGATACTATTAGTAATAGTGTCAACAATCACCTTGTTGAAGTCATTTTTATAGACATCTCTCCACAACAGGTGACATGGTAAACTGACAGACCCCCAATCACAGTGAGTAGAGGACATTGGTGTTGGTCTAAGAAAGCAGCAGTCACCCCCTGGTCCTCATGACTCGAGTGACAGGATACGGCATGCAGAGGGGTTCTGATGTGGAGATGAGCAGCCGAGAATCGGGCATAGATCATCCAAGAGCCAATGCGGGGTGCTAAGCTGGGCTGAGGGGTGAGGCACAGACTGAGCGAGAAGGAAAACCAAACATAAGACGCATCCTGAATAATTTTGGGCAGCTGCAAAATGTATTTCCGTATTTTATTTGGCCGCCGATCACCCCACTTGACTTTTATAACACAATGACTGTCCAGGGCCCGGTGGAGGACACTTGTGGAGTGTGTGTGGCTCCCGGCACCGCCCGCTGCAGCATCGGGGAGCCGGAAGGGAGGCGGGTGTTGGTTTTCCTGCTCCTTCCCCTGTGGCTACACTGCGTGTTCCAATGATTGAAACCACAATTTGGATAAAATATATATTTGTTTTATGTGTGAGGATTTTCTATTTCGAGCTGACTGTCACTCTGAGATTGAGGAGGGAGGTCTGACGAGTGCTTGTGAGACTTGACTTGCCTTCCTGCGGGCGGCCCTCCAGGTCTGTGATTTCCTGGCCTAGACCTTGAGTGTCTGCTGGGGCTTGGACTACATTCTCCGTAGACTTGTGGAGGGGCTACTTGTGTTGTGGGGTGTGGAGGGTGAGGAGGAAGAAAAACCCAGTTTGCCCCCTAATGTATTAATTCCTATGCAGCTAGAACTGGTTATAAACATGCTGTGGATTCTGAAGTTGCGCAGGTGTCCTGGGGTATCAGGCCTTCATGCAAGGGAAGGAATTGATGTTGCCTTGGGAGGGGTTGCCTCTGGGAGGGGCAGAGTTTCGATAATGTGAAGCTACCAATGCTGTGTTTTGCTTCTCCCTACTTCTTCCCACCCACTATTTGATTCCCACCTACTAAGAAAATGTAACTTTGCAGGCTCAGTTTCTATTTACAAATCCAGATAATCACACTGAATGGTTTCCTCCCTGAGGTACTGCCAGAACTGATGAGATTTTGGTAAAAGCATTGGCCGATACTGTAGAAACAGAGCATTGTTATTAATTTTGCTGTCCTGCTCTTGAGCAGATGAACGGCCCTTCCTAGTAACAGCTGTTACATCTCCCTTCATTCCCCTCTGCACCGCCACATCCTAGTCATAGTCTGATTTCTCCCTGGCTGATGGAGTGGCCACTCATCTTGTGGGTTTCCAAACACCTCCAACCCATATTACAAAATTCCGCCTCTCTTAGGATGGAAGGCCATTTTAATGGTTCCTCTTCTTGTGCACTAACCCTCGGTGAGTTCTGTTTTGGAGGGATGAAGTTCACCTTTTTTAGTTTTTCCTTCAAAGTTTTCCACAGCTTGACCTCAGACTTCCTTTTCAACCTTGACTTTTACGCTGCCCAGCTTTAA